GACGCAGACAGGGATGGAGAGGGGGCAGGTGGGCACTGGAGGGAAATGTTGCCCACTGTCAGAGTTTCACTTCCATCAGCACTGGTGGTCTGAGGGCTTCTCTGAAGCCCCAGTGTCACTCCCTCTGGTGGACCAGAGGTGAGACAGAGAGGAGGTTTTGCTGTGCCTTAAGGGACCATCCAGGCTGAGATGACATTCACCCCAGGCTCAAAGAAGATGAGTCCCCAGGGCCCAGGACTTTTCATCCCTCCTGTTCAGGAAGAAGTGACACTCACTCTAGAGATAGGTGTTGATGTGAGGCATATTCATGTCTTGCGGCTGCATAACTAACCATCACAGAGGGGGTGGCGGAAATGTATTCTCTCATCGCCCTAGAGACAGGCATCCAAAATCCAGGCTTAGTGAGGCTGTGCTCCGGGTGAAACCTCCCTTGCCTCTCCCAGCTGCCTTGCCTCCAAGCCTCTTTGGCTTGACAGCACTGCTCCAAGCTCCGCCTGGGTCTGCACATCGCCTTCTCTCTGTGTATCTCCTTTGTGTGCCTCTTACAAGGACACCTGTCACGGGATTAGGCCCACCTAGATAACCAGGATGGTCTCATCTTAAGGTCCTTACTTACAACTGCAAAGGCCGTTTTCCAAATGAGATCGCAAAGCCATAGCTGGACAGCTGTCCCTGGCCTCTCTTTAGCCTCACTAGTTGCCTGCCCACCCCTTCCTCCCCCCAAGCAAATGCTTAGTGACTCAGGGGAGGGGACAGCCATGAGTACTAAGGATCAAGCCTCATCGCAGGTCATCACCTGAAAGTCTATCTAATACAGTGAGGAATGAGGCCTCTAGGCCCTGTGCCAGTAGTGACAGGTGGCCAAGAGTCCATGGGCCCAAAACCATCATTTCTTTGCCTGCATGACCCTCCCCATATTAAACAAACTCATATTTATCAAGACTCAGCTCAAGCATCCCTGCTGGGGTGATGTCTGCCCTGCCCCCTCTTCCAGGGACTGCCTCCATCCCATCTGTTGCAGGTCTTGTGGTTTTCATCACCATCTCTTGACAGTTTGGCAATGGCCTGGAGTAGGTCATAGGCCCTGTGAGTTTACACTGAAACCCAGCACCGCCACCCCACAGAGACAAAGGTCGAATCCCAGGTCTGCCTGTGGCCATTATCACTCGATGGGCTCCCTCCCGTGGCCCACTCCACTGTCCCCCAACACCGCCCACTCCCACCCTCTGCCAGCCCAGCAGGGCCCCTTCCACAGCATCTTCACTTGTCTCCCTTTCCCTCCAGGCTGGTGGTGGGCGCTCCACTGGAAACCAACGGCCATCAGAAGACAGGAGACGTGTACAAGTGCCCGGTGACCCACGGGAACTGCACCAAGCTCAACCTGGGTAACTCGGGCCCCAGTCTCTCCACAGAGAGGCCAGCAGCTGGCCAGGGCAGGCAGATGCGAAAGCACATCCGGTCGGCTGTCCTGTGAGGCAACCCAGCTCCTAGCACCACCTTCATGTCACAGATGAGGAAGCTGAGGCCGGAAAGGAAAGTGACTTTCCCACAGCCACATACCTTGTCAGGGGCCAACCCGGATTCAAAGCCAGTGTTTTTTCTGACTCATCCACTGCCCCTCCACATAGGGTTTTCTGTCCACAGGAAAAAATTTCCTGTCTTCTTCTGATTTTGAAATAATCACATGGAGAGCTGACATCCACATAGCTTATGTAACCTTCAGCACATGCCAGGCACTGGTTTATGCATTTTTAGGTACTTTGACTCACTTAATCTCCACAACAACCATATGAGACTTAACCATTTAGCAAAAGAAGGGATGACCACATAGAGGTGAGGGGGCCTGCCCGGAGCCAGCTTGTGTGTTGCTGCTCCAGGATCCCACCCCCGGCGGCCCCTCAATGCTGCCTTTCTGAACCACAGGCTGGATTCCTTGTCGAGGAGCTTTCAGGTGCAGGGGAGATGTTGTGAGCAGCCTCCAGGCCTTCCATGACGTTGCCCAGCCCGCTTCTGGGGAGCACACACTCGTCTTCTAAAGCACTTGGTCCTAAAGATCAGTCAGTGGCCAGACCACCACTGTGTTGTCAGAAGGAAGTAAAAGTTCCACTTGGGCTGAAAAGTCATGACTCCAGGCCTTGCCTTAGAGCACCAGCCTGCTCCAACGCCAGGACTCCCCTCCCCCAGAGTAGTGAGATGGGGTGAGCAAGGGCCAGGTGGGGGGAGATGGCAGAGCTTCAAGAGATAAGCAGATGGATGAAAAGGCCCACATCAAAGAGAAAGCCCAGAGAACCCAGATCCCCGGGGCACAACTGTCCTGCCACGTGATGCCAGACGCTCCTGCCATCCGCATCTGTGTTAGCCCTACAAGTGGGAAATTCAAACCCCAGCGCAGCCAGAACCTTGACTTCAATGAGGGAACAGTCCGGGAGGGGCCTGGCTGGTGGTTCATGAGTCCTATGGTCCTCACTGGCCTGCTAGCAAATTCTTCCAAGCTGGTAGTCTCCTTCGCTGTGTGTCCAGGGACACACACATGCTCTCTCTACACCTCAGCTGGCTCACTGGTATTGTGAGGGGCACTCAGAGCCACTCCACTATGCCCCTAACCTTTAAAAAGCAGCTGGTACATTCCAAGAGCGTACTAGTTAGTGGGGCTGCGGCAGGGAACAAGAAGCCAGGGCTTGCGAAGAGAGGACAGAGCCGGCTGACAAATGAGAAACCACCTCAGGTGGGGTAACCGCTATGCAAAAAACCAGGGTGCTGAGTGAGAGAAACCAGTGTGAAGGGGGTTGGCACTGGGAAGTGTGGTGAGAAAAGGTGGGGAGAGAGGTTTTGCCTTAGCACGGTGGTCAGGGAAGTTCATTCTGACTGGATGACTTTTAAGCAAAGGTCTGCTGGAGACAGGTGATGCCAGAACATATGGGCAAAGGAGGGGCAGGTGCAAAGGCCCTGAGGTGGGAATGAACTTCTGTCAGGGCACAGAAAAAACAGCCCTGCCGTGAGGGCAGAAGGCAGGGAGGAAGAGGAGGGCTGCTTGCATCTCGGAGAACGTTCCTGGTGCAGGTGGGGGAGCAGGCACATGAACTGGTCCTTGAGTTTCTTCTCTTGCTCTGGATTCCATGCGGACCCCTTTTCCCTCCAATGAGGAGCCCCTGCTAGCAGTGAGACCTGAAACTATCAGAGCCTGGAAACGTTCCCAGACTGAGGCATAAGCTGTGCAGCAAAGCGAGGCTTGCCGGGAAGCACTGTACTTAAGCAGTGTTTCTTTCCCTCCTACTGAGGCGAAGACAGGCAGGAAGCCCCCCCAGCAGCTCATCCCCAAGGTGGAAAACGCAGGGCTGGAACCTGAGACCTTTCCAGGCACAAGCCCCCAGAGGGAATGTTCCTTCCTCTCTCCAGGGGAGGCTGAGAGTGAGTTTCAGGCATCCAGGCTGCCATCTACCACTCACTGGGCTTTCTTTCCAACAGCTGTGTGAGGTCAGGGCACAATGACCAGAGATGGAGGACAGAATGTGGGCCTGGAAGGCAGCCCCGTATGTGTGAGGAGGGATCCTCACCCAAACACATGGAGAAAAGTGTCCATCTCTCCTGGTAACAGAGAGACCACCATCGATGGCCCCAATCCTCCCAAGCCAGGAAACATAGGAACTACAGTCACTAAGGCAAGGGAGACAGGGAGGTAAGAGGTGAAGTGAGGGGTGTACCCTTAGAAAGAGGGAGCCCAGAGTTCTCTAAGTTCTGAAGGGCAGAAGTTACAGTGCTCATAGTTCCTCTCCAGAGTCCTCGCTACCACCACACTGCCACCACAAAGGAGAACTCAGGATGTAACCAGGTTCGAGTTCTGGTTCTGTCATTTACCAGTGACTGACCTTATAGAAGTCAGCAGCCCTCTCCACACTTCGACTTCTCATCTCTGAAATGGAAATGGTGGCTCTTGGGTCTCCCAGGACTGACAGGGTGCTTATAGCAGGGCGCTTATGGACGGTACTTTGCAAAGACAAGGCACCATAGAAACACCAGGGTTATTTGTAGCATATTCTCTCTGAGTTGCCTGGACAGACAAAATAGAAAACAATCTCTGTCACTGGTAACATAGCCAAGAGGGGCTGGATTTCAAAAGGAGGCTTACTACACACTGAGGGAAAAACAACAAACACAGCTGCCTCAGCCCCGGCCCACGAAGCAGGCAGGCGTCTGAAGTTCTGGCCTCTGGTCAGCCCAGCCCAGGCCTGCTGGCCTGTGCCCCGAACGGCCCGCTCCCCCCCCCCAAACCCCCAACACCAAAGCAGGCTGGCTCCTCACACTTCTGGTGCCACAAAGCTAAATGCTAAGTATTGTTGGTTGAGGCTTCCCAAGTCCTCAAAAATCACAGCAGGTAAGTATGGGCTCTGGGTTAATGCAAGGCCCAACTTTCTTCCCCCTAAACACACAGTCCCAACGATGTGCCCATTCACCTGTGCACGTACAAACACACACACCACAACACACTTCTGGGGAACTCAGGCTCACATCCTGCCCTTCAGTGACCTGACAGGATGACCTAGTAAAACCTTAACCAGAGCAATTCTATTTAACAGTTCTAATGTATCACAGCCCACTCCTTGCAGCTAGCCACAGAATGACATTCCGGGGTGAGACCTGACACCTCTAGAAGGCTCTTGTCGAGTACTGTTTGCTCCCTGGGAATCAGTTGTCACAAGTCAGCTTAGCTTATCAAATAAATGACCGAGTCCTCCCACACTGGCTTTTGGGAAACCTGTGCAGGACCTCTGCACCGAGGAAGTCGGTCTGGGTGTGGTGAAACACTGGTGTCCCTCAGGATGCCGGGAGGAGGAAAAGCTCCCGACAGCAGGAGCCTCTCTGAGACCCGGTTTCCTCATTTCAGAGGGAGTGGTGAGGAAGCAGTGAGACCAGGTCTCGGCAAGACCTAAGTAAAACAGTGTGCAGACGAGCCAGGGGTCCAGAGGGGCAGGGAGAATCGGGGAGGATGCTGCCTGGCACTGACCTGCCACAGGCACCTCGGTGGCCAGCGGCGACCGCAGGCTCTGGCCAGCGGCCACGGGAGGAGCTGCAGGCTGAGCTTCGCCTTCCCGCCCCAGGAAGGGTCACGCTGTCCAACGTGTCCGAGCGGAAGGACAACATGCGCCTGGGCCTGAGCCTGGCCACCAACCCGAAGGACAACAGCTTCCTGGTAAGCATCACTCACCCACCTCCCCTCCCAGCCCGCTACCCCTCTCCTACCCCTCCCCCTTTTGGGGAGAGGGTGAGGCCAGTGGACCAGGCCTCACACATGTGCCACCAGCTGCCGCCTATGCCATTCCGCAAACCGTGTCCTCCACTTTCAGGGCACAGTAGAGGCAGGACAAAGGATAAACCCCTTTTGTCCAGTGCCTGCCTGCTCCTTTCCACCATGGTTGAGTGAGAACTGTGAGTCTGAGCAATGCTGGGGCTTCAACACAGAATCCTCCTGGGACCGATAGTTCCCAGAAACAACTGTGAGAGAGTTTAGAGGAAAGATGCCCCCAAAACCTCACTGGCCATCTTAAACAGGGCCTGGTCAATCCTGCTTCTTGTCTAGAAGTTTGTTTCTGTTGACAGAGGAGACATGTGGGGTGTGGGGTACCAGGCACCTGAGCAAAGAGACTGGGGTGCTCGGTGACTTGAGAACAGAGTGGCTCGGCTTGGGGAGTCGTGAGATACTTGGACTAGTGGTTAGGACACAGCCCTTCATCATCCCCAGCCAAGGGCAAAACACGACCCTGTTCATAGACACACCTGTCAGGGGCCTTTCTTCCTACTTCTTTGCTCTCTGAGGCGCCTTGTCACATGTCTGCTAACATGATTTCACCTAGTTCAATAAACTGGGATGGAAGTCCAAGAGGGATCATGTAATATACCCTCTGGGGCCTCAGTTGGATAGGTTAAGTTTATAAGTGACAACTTTTGGTAGTTAATTTATTCATATATTCATCCATTCATGCTTCAGCCCATCCTTAAGCAATTATCCATCCCACCATTCAACTGCCTATCCATTCGTTTCTGTATCCAACCATCTATCTGTCTATATATCGATCCTTCCTCTTATCCTCTTATCCTTCCATCTAATCACTCATCCTTTCTTACATCCATCCATCATTCATCCATCCATCCTTCATCCATCCATCCATGATCCATCTAGCTACCACAACTCATCCATCATTCATCCATCCATCAGCCATAATCCAACATCCATCTATCATTTTTCTGTGTACCTATCCATCCATCATGTATCCATTCATCATCCATCAATCCACCATTTAGCTACCATCCACTCATCATCCATCATCTAGCCTTCTCTCTATATATCCAGCTATCAATCATCTGTCCCCTCATTCTTTATTCTCTTATTTCCAAAAATAATTGAAAGTACCTTCAACAAGAGATACAGATAAAGAAAAAGCTTTTCAATGTGGGTTAAAGGGAAAATAGAACTAATTAAAGAAAGGGAATGGAAGTGGCATGATTACTCCTCCAAATCAAATTAAATTACAGCCGAAATTCATTCCTGGATTTCCTGGCTTCATGGGGGGGGTGAGGGAGGGAAAGGTCATTTCTTTTTCAATGACTGACCCTGTCTCTGAGAAGAATTCATCATTCTGTGTTTACATGGGAAACTGACACCAATGTTTCTGGTAACAAATTTCTGAGAATGAGAAAAAACATTTTCTTCCCTTGTAAGAGCCCTGGGCTGTTATTGGTCCCCAGTTCTGGCTATTTCCCAGCAAGGACCTTCAGGCGACCTTTGCAAACAGAAGCTGCTCTAGTGACCTAAAAGGTCTACTCCAATGGCGGAAAAGACCCAGATGCTGTGTAGTGAATGGGTGTGTGGGGAAGGTGAAGAAGAGTCACAGCTTTAAATAAGTAGTAAGAATGGGACACTCAAAAATACAATAAAGGACTCAAAGATTCATTTTCTTCAGCCCAACTGTAAAGAAGGGAACAGGTATTCCTTCAGCAAGAGAGTTACCAACATTCAGCTAGAGAATATCTGACTTGGATCATGGAGGTTGGGGCTGAGCCAAAGACTATTGGCCTTGACCTCCCGGAGGCCCCACTAAGGACCTACTGTGCTTCACAGGCCTGCAGCCCCCTCTGGTCTCACGAGTGTGGGAGTTCCTACTATACCACAGGGATGTGCTCCAGAGTCAACTCCAACTTCAGGTTCTCCAAGACCGTGGCCCCTGCGCTCCAAAGTAAGTGGCTTCAAATCTGGACTCAGGCCAAGCGGCAGGCCACAGGAGCCCTGAGCTCTGACTGTGGCTAGCCTGTGGCCACAATGCAGCCTTGACCTGTAACTGCTCTGACTCTCTGGATAGCCTGGGATGATCACTTCACCTCTCTGGACCTCTGTGGCCCCCTTTGCCCCACAGAGTGATGGTGGGGGGCCAAATAAGCCAGTGTTATAAAGACAGCCCAGGGAGCCAGGGAGGTTCACTGTGAACCCACCCTGAGCTACGAGAGATTGCTAGGTGACACTGTCCAGCAGGGAGGTTCACTGCATAGCTCACTTTGGCTCAGTGACTGTTGCCCTCTGATGTTATGCAACGGCCCTATGGTGGAGGGTCAGGGTGAACAGAAATGCCCCTGGTAATAGTCCCATTGAACTGGTGTTCCTGGACATCAGGAAGCTCTATCCAGCTTACTCAGAGCTCATGGAACACAACCCCCCCCCTCACCCCACTCCTGCCCCAGCTGCCAAGAAAGTCTGGGGAATAATGCTCAGACCCCATCTCCTGCAAGCCCAGACTGCTTGGCTCTGAGCCTCACTATTTCCTCTGGGCTAAATCCCATCACCCAAGCAGCTGCTGCCAGTTTATTGAGGGTGCTGGGATTAGCACCTCTGGCAAGCCAGCAGTTTCCTGCAAACAAGACCCAGCCGTGGAGATGGAAAAATGGTGCTTGGAGAAGGGAGGGGGACCCCTCAGTCCAGCAGGGCTGGAAAGTGGCCTGCCAGTCTGATGAGGAGCTGTTGGTTCTAGTCACAAAAAAGACAGTGCTGGCGGCAAGGGCTGGGGCAGGAGGCAGAGGTCACTTGAGCCTCCATAAGGGAACATCACCACCCCAAGAGCAAGGGCTGACATCTTCAGCCTCCCAGAACTTCTCAGGATGGGGATACCCTCACCTGGCCTAACAGCGGCAGTGTTGTGGGAGTTTGTCAGGCAGACCCCAGGCTGCCCCTCTTCCATGTGGAGGTTCTAATTCAGGAGGCAGAGGGCGAGCCCAGAGTGTGTGTGATGTGGTGTCTCCAGCCTTATTTAGGAACCACACATCTAAAATAAAGTTCTTCCCGAGGTATCTTCCTAAAAGGGAAACTCTGATATTGTTTTTAAAAAAATCTCAGCCATAGTAATGCATAAAACTGGCTTCCAGATAATAGAGAACTGGTCTACCACCCAATCAAAAACACCTCCTAATCTATCGGGGTCACCTCCATGACCCCCCCCTAACACACTCACTCTGTGTTCAGCTGACTTGGGTGAGCATAAAGCTATCAAGTGCCGCAGCCTGTAATGTCAGGCTGTGCAGCTGGACACAATTGTCTGCACCACTTGTCCTAAAGCAGGAGTAACCAAGCATCCAAGTCACTTACATGCCGCTGAAATGCTCTATCAGGACCTCCCTGGTGGCACAAGGGGTTAAAGCACAACACTATGAAGTGATCCACAGCCACTGAGGCACAGTTTGATCCCTGGCCCTGGAGGTGACCCACAGGCACAGCAGACCTCTCCTGACCCGCCTGCAACTCCCCTCAGCAGTGTACTGGTCAGCCTGCCTGTTCTGCTCCCCACTCTGTCTCTGGTGAACCCTCTCACCCCTTGCACCTCTGGCTTGTACCCCATTCTTATATGCATAAATAAATAAAACTTTAAAAATAAATTAATTAAATTAAATGCTCTACCAAACACAAGCCTGCAACAGGCACCTGGGCCCAGGGCCTCACCTTCCCCTCATGATGCAGGGCTTCCTGAGATGTCTGACACACCTAAGGCTCCTGCCTATTGCTGTAAAATGGATTTTATAACTGTGTGAAAATTCGCCTATAAAAATGAACAGAGGCCCAATAGTCCAATATACTATAATGGAATATAATATAATACAAACCATATCATATCATATTTCAAAGTAACCCCCAGCTGCTCACAAAGAGAAACTTTTTACATTTGTTATGGTTCCAGCGTTTCTGTCATTATTTGTTTTAGTTTGGTATCAATGTTACAAGAATATAGAGAAACGGTGTAGAAATAAAGAGAGCAGAGATAAAGGAGCAAAACCTTGACCTGATGAGGTCATTGTCACAGTCATAAAATGGTTAGAAGACAGAAAATCGGATCGTCTCGGACATCAAGCCTCACCTCGTCCCTTCCCTACCACGCGCCTCCAGTAGGCACCTGCCTCTCTCGGAGAAAAGAAAACAGTGCGGAGAGGTTAAGTGACTTGCCCAAGTTTAAAGTTAGGATTCCAACATTCTGCTGCCAGGTTGCCCCACAGTACCCTCCTGAAAAGCAAAACCTATTCACTTGAGCCAAAAGTGGTAAATGCCAGCCTGCCCGGTACAGTAATGAGCTGCCCATTGAGGCAAGATGGCTGCCTCAGAAGCAGTGACTGGCAGATGAAGTCAGTCCCTGAGGGAGAGCAGCAGGAGTCAGGCCTAATTTAACTCTGATTCACACAGCTGGCCAGGGTGGTGGAGCAGAGCCAGGATCGGCTGAGCTCGTCGGTCATGCTGCCCCAGTAAATGTGCAGCCCAAGCCCAGCTCCCCACCACGGGAACCACGCACACATCACTTACACACGTAACAGGGTCCTTTTTCTGGTGTCCTTTGGACAGTCATCTGGAGACTGACACTGGCTTCTAGGGTAGCCATGACCGTGTCCCCACTTCGCAGGGTGCCAGACCTACATGGACATCATCATCGTCCTGGACGGCTCCAACAGCATCTACCCCTGGGTGGAGGTTCAGCACTTCCTCATCAACATCCTCAAGAAGTTTTACATCGGCCCTGGGCAGATTCAGGTGAGTGTCTCTGAGACTCTTTTCCTCTTCTGAACAGGGCTCCCAAGCCAAGGTTGATACTCACTGGGGGATGGGGGAGCATCTTTGCTTAGAATAAGGTGTGGATGAAAGCCAGTCCAGGACAGCCAAGACACCACATCTACTGGTGGATCAATTTGGGGGAGGCCTCCCATCAGAGGTAGACACACCAAGTGAGAAAGATACTGGGCCCTCCCTAGTGGCACAAAGGGCTAGGACGCAGCACTGCAAGCTGGCAGCAGCTGCTTCAGTTCCATCCCTGGCCTCGGAGGTGACCACATGGCACAGCAGACCTCTCCTGACCCGCCCGCTGCTCCCCTCAGCAGTGTACTTCGTCAATCTGCCTGTTCTGCTCCCCACTCTGTCCCTGGTGAATCCTCTCACCCTCCGCATCTCTGGCTTGTACCCCAGTTCTGTATGCACAAATAAATAAAACTTAAAAAAAAAAAGAAAAGAAAAGAAAGATTTTTGACCTGCTAGAGAGTAGAAGGAAGGCAAGGAAGACTGATAATCCCACTGAGTAAGGAAAGGTTCATTGATTTTAGAACATCACTGCCAGCTTGTATTTGAAACACCACCTGGCTAAAGAGGGGTTCTACATATTCTATATTCGTTTGGTCCTCAGTGAGGACCAAGGGCTGAAAGTTACCAGGAGACAGATTTCAAGTCAATCTAAAAAATTATTTTATAATAATTAAAGATTTTAGAAGAGCATCTTTTTATTTATTTATTTATTTACACATACAGAACTGGGGTACAAACCAGAGGTGCAGGGATGGTGAGAGGCTTCACCAGAGACAGAGTGGGGAGCAGGACAGGCAGATCCACAAAGTACACTGCTGAGGGGAGCAGCAGGCAGGTCAGGAGAGGTCTGCCGTGCCATGTGGGTCAGCTCCGGGGTCGGGGATTAAACTCGCACTGAAGCGGCTGTGACTAGCTTGCAGTGCTGTGTCCTAGCCCGTTCTGCCACTAGGGAGGGCCTGGAAGAGCATCTTCTAAGCAAAGGTGGTAAAAAGCTCAGCATCAGAAATGCTGACTTTCAATTAAACTCCACAAGCCTATCCAATGCTTAACTTTTTATCATTCTACTCCTACTATAGGTCTATAAGGGTTTTTGTTTATTTTAAAGCTACCAATGTTGATATTTTATCAACCTTGAGATGAAAGAAGCTCTTCTCTCCCATGATTTAGGGAACCTTTATCCCAGAGCTTGGTGAGCGTTGGCCCTCCACCCAGGCTCTTCCTAATATTTTAGACTTCAGTTCCAGGCTCAACTTTTGTCATTTCAAAAGAAAAACTTAATCTGTCGCAACTTTTCTTAAATCACTGTCTCCTCTCTCAACATGTGGGAGGTTCCTACTTGTCTCCCCAAGCCATCCATTCATTCCCAGAATGTTCCAGAACCTGCTTCCCTGAAGTTTGGTTACTGTCCCTGGGGAAGAGCTTAGCACTCCTCCCTCCTGAACAGTCACAGACAGGGATATCTCAGGGAGCCTCCCCAAATGTCTGAGTGTTGGGGCATAAGCTGCTCTGTTAGCCTCTCCCCTAACTTGCAGGTTGGAGTCGTTCAGTACGGAGAAGACGTGGTCCATGAATTCCACCTCAATGACTACAGGTCTGTAAAAGATGTTGTGGAAGCAGCCAGCCACATTGAGCAGAGAGGAGGGACAGAAACCCGAACTGCATTTGGCATCGAATTTGCTCGGTAAAAAAAATTAAATTTTAGATACTATTTTACTGCGCATCATCATGTAACAAACTGCTGCAGAATTTAATACGTTGAGACAATCGTTTATGAATGCCTCAAAATTCTGGGCACTGGCTGGGCTCAGCTGCTCAGGTCTCTTGGGTCTTCTCATGTGGTTGAAGTCCATTGTCAGTGGCTGACACCAGAAGTTTCCACTGGACTGGCATCCCAAATGG